CGGAATTCTGCGAAATTTTAAAATCTCCCACGTGGCCACCATGTTTTTCGCAAATGTACTAGAAATTCATTGTTTTCTATGCAATAAATCCGGACAACGTATTTCAAAAGTATTTGCGCTAGTCGGAAAAATGGCCGAGAGAATTGTCGTTGAATGACATATTTGCAACAGAAAAAACAAACGCTTAGGAAGAGTAAGCGAGTGTTCTACTCTTTCTGGAGATTTACTTACAACCCACTATATGTAATAGAATAAACTTCGACATTAAAAAATCACAACATTCGTCAAGGCTGTATTCTTCATACACATACACTACGTATTGCAAAACCACACCTCTCACTGGTGCTTGCACAATAATCTTCAGCTGCTTAGATGACTGGTTGCTTTGAGAGAGTGGGGCCAGGTTGTTTTTCCTTTCTACAGTACATTCGATTTCGGAAAGAAGTACGCATGGGGCAATGACCAAAAGTTCCACAAAGAGAGCAACGTACAGTACGCACTCTGCATGACTAACTGCTTTTTTAGTTATGTGTAGGCATAAATGCATTAGATAGCCTGCATACGTATGGTATTAGGCTACACTGTGGTGATAAATGAAAGAAAGGGTATACTGTGGAATAAACGTCATAAAGAGTGCACTCCGGCAGACTTTTTATACCTTTCATGCCGTAGATCTGACCTGACTTTAGCCCTTTAGATTGCTCCCACAGGCTAATAGAAAGCTGAAACCCCATGATGATGATGCTTCATTAGCTGTATACATCAATCAAATATAAGTTAATGCTAAGTTCTATACTTTGGCATGCATCCACACATGCTTATCTGTATTTCTGCAGATCTGGCATGGTAATTATACGATTTGTTTGTTAGGAGGAATTCAATGTGACAGGCAACTTATTAATATTTTATCTATACGGCGCAAAAGCAGAATGACAAGCCACTGAGCGTACATGACGGTATGCGCATTCATAAGATATCCAGTGCCGGTAACATGTAAAATTAAGTATTGTGTAGTTATGTGTTTAATTGCAAATAAACAAGTATTCATATAGTGGCTCACATTGACACGATTATATAATGTAAGAAATTGTTGTGTTTACTCAATGACCATTGCGTACTGCTGCATTAAGGCCATTAGTTTCAATGATGCGGGTCAATGAAAAAAGCAGAATGCTTTCCTAATGTAGCCTGTGCTGTTCATTGGCTGTGAGTGGAAATGCCGAGAAACACAAAGCACCGATCGTGAACCCCTTGCAATCACAATAAATATGTAAGCTTCTATGACAATCTATACAGCAACCGAAATCTAGAAAGCTTTACACCACAATTTGGTAATACACAAGAATCATTTGTTGAAACTGATTCCTGTAGTAATTTGTTTGAAAGCCACGATACTGAAAAAAAGCATTCTATAATAATTGTGTTCTCACATAAATATGCTGCCTAATCTTACATTTCGATGGTATCTCATGGATGTATACCGTGTAGTATATATAAAGATAGAGCATTTTTTGTGCAATAAAAAAATATTGCTATACTCCACATAGAAAAAAATTCGTTTAAGATTTGTAGTACTTGGCGAAGTTAAAAGCCAAAGTGGGCTGAGGCGAATATATCTCGGAATAGCGAGAATTTTATAAAAGTTACACAAGGTAAAAACAAGCCGAATGAAATAAATCGTGCTCGAACGTCAGCGCTCATGCTCAAACTAGTTTTTACACAGTTAAGGTATGAAAATTTGGCCACACGCACAGATGAAAGGTCCGTTCCGACACAAGTCCAGCTTAACAATCGGCTGCACATGCATGACTGCGAGCAGTGTCACGAAACCTACGTTGCGGATGAGCGAAAACGTCAGTATGAATGAATTCGGCGAAATGGATCGTATCAGCATGCAGGCGAGCTTCGCGAGGTGCACTGAATACGAAGCAATATGCTGTGTCATCACCCCATGCATGAACCCGGGTATCACGGTAGTTTTAGTGCACAAAACGAATAAGAACTTAAAAGAACGACGTGAACACCACGCCCTTATTTTTCTTCCACTCACCGTCTTTTTGCGAGATAAATAGATACAGCATATGAATTATCAACGTGGCCAAACATATGCGTTTTAGACATGGTTAACGTTTAGAGCTAACATGCGCCATCCCCACGCAAGTATTATTAAAACAAACTAGACATTCATCGCATGCGGGGCGCCAAGCACTACTGCCAATAAACAAGGGTGCCGCTACAATGCTGTGCGAATTCCTCGCTGAACCACACCAGCGCTTGCGCACTCTGCTTCCTACTCCAACAATTCCAAACAAAGATACACTTGCCCGCACTCACACAACGGTTCCATAATTTCAGTGAAACAGTTCACACAAATATGCTCACTAGGTAAACAAATGTTCAATTATTGTCAACTAGACGGTGTTATTTTTACGCTCACATAGTTAACAAACCGCTGACTTCAGCAACGTGAGAGCGTACTGATAGTTTCACTTCGAGTGCTCCAATATATGAATCGACAGTCCTGCCCTTCAGTATACTGCATCTTCGTAATGAGCAGCACTGGCAGAGCACACATGACGAGCACATAGCACACGCACGTTTAAAATAACAATACACCGACTAATAAACTCGACTGACTGAGAAGCGACGCGCACCACACCCACTCAAACAGGAAAGTACTTCAGGTATTTCGCCTGCAAATAAAACGTGCCTGCTTAAAATATATCACGTGCATGTCCATTTTTGTAAGGAACCTGATGACCCTTTGACGTGGAAGCTATTGGCTGTGCCGATGGAATTTTGCCGATGGTGGATGTTTATTCCTCCAGCTTTAACAGCTTCGATATTACGGAGGGGGGTGGCTCCCATGGCTACGCTATTGTGCGCAATATTACCTTGGTTCATGCAAGTTAGGGCACATTACATGTGTTCACTAATCATGCAAACGGCAGAGATGAGAGGAACATATACGAGATAATTGGTCCCTAATATATTGGACAAAAGGCGCTCCTGTTGTGTCTTCCGTCTTTGTAGTTTTTATGCTTTATCGATGAACACTGCGTTTCAGTTGCATTACTTAACATACTGCTTCGATTCATTACTAGAACCGCAAGCAGCTCGTAGTAGGGCCTTGCTGGTAACAGGATGGTTAATGTATACTTAAAAAAAAGTTACAGCTTTCCCTCAAAGACGAAGCTTTTATGCAATAGCGACAAATTAAAATGACACGCAGAACGATAATCAAATCAAAACGTGCCCAGCGTCGCTCACGCACAAATGACGTACGAAACGTACTCACAAGTACAGATGAACGCGACTAAGTGTCTCAGTAGTTACTTTGCTGTGCCTAAAAAGCGCGCCCTTTTCACCCACAAACACAGGCAGCGAGGGCAGTGACCTTTGTGTAGCCGGTAACTACTACAGAATCGTTCTGGTGAAAGCCCAAGGCGTAAGATTCTCTCAACCGCGAGATAAGGGCACGCACGCGTGAGCGTCTACCCCGCCCCCTACCCCTCTACCTGTGGGGCAAAGTACGCGTGGGAGATGAGCGCGTCGTGACGATGTGGCGACGTGCCATAATTGCCCCATATCGCAGGTAATGCTGAAAACACGATAATTCTCCCGAGATCACCATCGGCAGTGGTAACTGGTAGATATAAATAGCTTGCTGTTTCGACGTGGGAAGAGGTGCGCCTTCGATGCTCAGTGGATAACGCCCCGCACTCACGAGCAAGAGGTCGTACGTTCGATACCGCGTGGTGGAGTCTTTCTGGATTATCGGGAGTGAACCTCCTGAAGTCGTTGGTTTTTCCTTCTACGGTAACCAGTTCGTCCCCGCTAGTTTATAGATGCCTTAGCAGCTGGCGCTAGTGTGAGTGATGGGAAGACAGACGGATTCATGGTTTACTTATAAAACACTCCGAAGCTTCGCCCCACTCATCATCATTCACTCCGGTGATATGCTGTGACTTTTTGCTTTCTTGCGTTTTCATATATAGATACTTTGTGAATGATGATGGTCACCAACGTTGTCGTCGATGACGGCGGCGAAATTCAGCCGAGAGTGTGCATATAATTGCTACCCCAATAATAAGAGCAAAACTACCTAAATTGTGCATTTGTAGCCTCGTTCATTACACCCCTAATATAAGGGTGCATATTGGGTATTGCAAGGGTGTTTTATCTATAACATCATTACTGTCAACAACGAGTGTATTGAGGGTGCTTCGAAACGTGCTTTTAATGCAAACACTTGTATTACATTCTTAAAGGTGTAAAATGCTTTACTGTGTACACTTTGAACAAACCACCCTTAATGTGGTTACTTGGGCATTTGATCGTACATGTTGGAAGGAACCAGCGCGAAAAATGAAAGATTAAGCAGAGAAGGCCACATATAACAGCGGTGTTTTACAACGCAAGCTTATTCGCCAAATCACGCATTATATACATACTGCGTTCAAACGAAAAGAGTGAAGAAACAAACATGACTTCTGCCTTGTCAGAAAAGAAGTTGTTTTTCTATCATGATGTTTGCACGCACAATTAACATGTTTTTTGAGGATGATGTTGATATGTAATTCATCTTTCAAGTGTAATTTCTGCTCTTTCCGTTCGTTTTAACTGTGCAGGTATATTATGCGTGGTTTCACAAATTAACTTCTTATGCAAGTTAGGGCTGTTGTATGCAACGTTGTTGTATGCGCTCTTCTCTTCTTTATCTTTCGTCTTTCGCGCTGTTTACCCCCAAAACCACCACCAACGTTGATGCCACTCGCAAAAACCAAAGGAAACCGCCGCCTTTGGGCGCACTCACGGCTTTGCGCCTCCCTCGATTGTCGACGCTTCGCGCCTACGATCGCCGAAGAAGAGCGGGACGAGGGGAAACAGCGCCTAAGAGCAAGGATACGCTGCGCTCTGCGAGCCCGCCCTTGCTCTCCCACGGGGCTGTCGGTGGAAGGCGAGGCGAGCACGCGCGCCGGCGCTCCAGTCCGGACCCGAGCTCGAGCCCGGCTGGGAGCGAAAGGCCCGGTTGACCGTGGCTGCTCCAGACGCGCAGTCGGAGCTCGGTGGAAACGCTGCGAGGACGCGCGCATGCCACTTTCAGCGCTCAGCGTGTGGCGCGCCTGCGTCACGTTGTCGCTCCTCCGGATGACGCTCGCTGAAGAGAGGTGAGTATGCTGCTTGCATTGTTTGATAAAATATGTATGCTGTGTTCTTAAATGCTAATAAACAGAGTTGTATATTGTACTTCCAAAGTCACGCAGCATTGACCGTAATCAACTATGAGCATTCGTGTACTGTTTGTAACTTGTGTGGAGAACTTCACAGTGTGAACAAAGCCCAATCACATAGACAAAAAAAAACCATTCAGTGATCAGCGCATGTCTTGGAACATGTTGTTATTTATATTCAAATATTTTGTCAAGCCCTCCTGTTCCACTTGTCATTATGTGCTGAGTTTCCGTTTTCATGTGCCAGGTTGGTACAGTAGACGGAACAACGCATATTGATATGACTCATGCTACTTTTAGTCTCATTGCTAGGATTATTTCTCTTTAAATAAGGTGAGAAAGGTTTTACTTTACGAATTATGTAATCTTAAGTTTTGCCCTATATTTTAGCCACTACCCATGCTAGTGTATGGAGAACATGAACAGGGAATCACAGTGTTAATAACGTGCCCTAACGAGCCCTAAGGTGCCTTAGTTAAATCCTTTGTTTTCAGGCTATCACAGAATAAAGTACTTAAACGTGTGCGAAGATACTGAATGGACGCTTGAAAAGAAATGAGAGGCTAATATTTACAAGCATTCGTAATCTAGCTCGTGTTTCGAGAAAGCATTGGTCAAAGATGTTACGTGGTAGACTGATCTCATACTTAGTTTAGAAAAATATACGATCATGGCACGGTAGCAAGTTCCTTGAGGGGCACTTTTCTCGGGCATTGAAAACTTCGAAGCTACAAGAATATGTGAGGTGTCGTAGAATTCGCACTAATATTGTTTTGCAGAGATATCTTTGCCGAAAATTCAGCTGCGTAAAATTCAAGTTAGCTTACTGTATTCGCCATATTATTGATAACCTAATGGCGTTTGCACGCTCTCCAATGTATCGTGCGAAGGTGCGTCGGGAGTCCATCTTCCTTGAGCTAAATATTTGTAAAGGCAATCATATCTAAGGACAATTTTCGATTGTTATAGAAAAAGTGACATAATTAAGCAGTGTTTATAACACCAACATGGCACAGTTATCCTGAAATGTTTGTAAAGCTGTTTAAAAGCTGTTAATTTAAAACATTTAAGAGAAAACTTCAGCTTTCACTGATATAAAAAGTCATTTGGCAGAACAACTGCTTGTAACAGTACAGAATTTTAAAGTAGAGATCGCGCAGATCATGGTCATTTTCGTCCCGACAACATCTTCGCGATGAGGCACCAAAGGCTATGTTTCGATTTCAGTTAAGCATTGCTTCCGGTTTCACACGTGATATACGCTCATTACATATGTATGGCGTCTTTCGTCGTAAGTTCTAAAGTTCAGTATTATATTAGGCATTATCAGGCTAAGAAAAAGGAGGATGTAAGAGTAAGCTTGCTGGTGGCGATACATCGTGAAGGCTTCTGGCGCATGAAAAAGACACGCACTAAGAAAGAAGGCGGGGCGCTGCACTGGCATCCAAGAGAATGCGTATTCGGCAGAGGTGGAACGCACACGTTAGAACAGTGCGTGCGGGCGCTGAGAGTTACGCTCCGCCTCCCCGAAATATACATTCTGTTGGAAGTCAGCGCATCGCGGGCGCTCAAAGATACGTTCCACCTCTGTCGAATAAACATTCTGTTGGAAGTCAGCGCATTGCCCCGTCGGCTTTTTTAGACCGTGTCTGTTTTATACGTCACAAGTTTGTGTGAAAAAAAAAATGGGAGCACATAAGCATTTTCGCGAAAATTTATTGCTTTGTGGAGCACTAATATGTAATGTCATTTTTTAGACGATCAAACGGAGCCCTGGATGACTTGGAGAAACTTGATGACTTGTTAAGAACCTATGATCGACGTGCACTTCCCACAACACACTTAGGTATGTCTTCTTTTCTAGTGCGCCCTTTTGATGTCTGTGCATGCATGAAAACCAAGAAAGCAGTCAAATGACGTGCTAACATTGGATGACCGTTGCAACATTTTCCCCTGTGTTTGTATTTTTCCGGTAAGTCCTCAAATGCCTATTAAATTTGGATAGTTTGTCATCAACCGCTATATTTACAAAAATTTACCAGAAATTATGTGTTGTGATTTATCGGTCAGTATTTTCTCTAAAATAGCCATCTCGCACAACTCTAAGTTTCAGAATTATCTTGAGGACGAGAAAAACTTCGCCGTAACCTTTCTTATCCACACTCAATACTGTTACGCTTGAAGGAGATTGTCAGAAGCTGAAGGAGCTCGCTTATTACGTCGTGAAATTGGTCGTGAAGGTGTACTGAGAAGTGGTCTAGACACCCTCCTGATCCTTTTCTTCTTTCTAACTCGTAGCGGAAAGCACGTTCATCGCGACCTTTGTTGTTTTCGTCCATGTGCGCAACATTCCTCCCCGTGCAGATGAAGGCCGCTGGACGCGTCAGTCGAGTTGTCTCGGCGTGAATGATTTCAGATGAGAGACAATATTATCGCATGCATGCGCGTATGTAGTCATGGGCACGCCAAAAGGTGTATTCATGCTCATGACGTGTCCACAGGGCAATACGATTTTCATTACCTTGTGCTTACTAGAATTAATTGAAATATTACTCAGTCGTTTGAGTACATGTAAAAAAAACGCAGTTCGAAACGAAGGCGCTTGGTTGTTTCAAACATTTGCTGAAACTTCCGTTCTTGTTATGTTACACATGATAAGTGAAGTTTGAGGAGAAATTCTCGCTGTTTTCACCTTCGTTCGAGAAATTTTTAAGAAAAAGCAAAGACCACATCAAGTCAATTAGATGTTTACGAAGAAGCTATTATGGAGTTTATGGGTGTCAGAGCTTCATTTTGTTCCTCAAACTTGCACCACAGCAGTACACACTGTAAAGAGTAACATCTGTATATTGAACACGAAATCGGGCTTATTTAAGTGAGGTAAGCGAGATAGTGCAATGTCTGCACAGAACAAAGCTTAGAGCGACATAATATAGACAGAAACACTGGTGCATGTTTATGGCTGACCAAATCCAAAACAAATAAAAAATTTCATTTCTTGAAGAAGGTTTCAACTGCGGCAGCACTCAACCTGGAAGAGTTAGCCTTGTGGCAGGAGCTTTTTGGTTTGATGTTTCCAGCCAACGTCATCGTACCACCACAGACACGGGAAATGAACTCGTAACATGTGAAATAAAAATCTGAACCAGACATAGAGTATAGCAAAGTGGCTTGAGTGGCTTGCACAGTATACTGTATATGGCTCTTTACGGGGATAGTGTCCAACTATGCGAGTGTAATATTATGGCTATGAAAACACATATGTGTTTTGTATCTAGTTGTTAACGACTCCGCGCCTCATTCTGCTATTTTGTTTTTTTTTTCCTGGAAAGATTAGATATACCAAAGGTATATGCAGTTTTCTCTTTCCTGTTCCAGTGAGATTAGGTGCCTGTTGTCATCCACGGAATGCTAACCACAAATTTTTGCGCCATATTCTGGTCACTACTCACAATAGAGCATTGTTGATATTGCTGCTAAACTATAAAGCTAAACTTATTCACAGTTTCCCAGAAAACTAGGCTCGCAGGGGAATTCGCGCCAGCAGTATTGCATGAAACGACAGCGATAAAGGAAGGCTGTACTGGTGAACTGTGAGCACCACGCTTGCTAGACATAGTAATTAGATCAAGGTGTTGTATTTCGCCAGAAAAAAAGAAGAGGACGAGAGAGCGCCACTGCCAACGCCTGCAGAGTTGGCTGCAATTCCCCGGTCGTGCACGCGCTATTCGCATAGAGAAAACACGTTGTACACGTTAAAAGGGTGCTGGCAGGCGAGTTAAAAGACAAAGGTGCGTGGCAGCGAGAGTAAGAGACAACATACGAGGACGAATGATTGATCTGAGATGAAAGTTGGCATAGAAATGACATGCCTTGCCAGTCCTTCTTCAGAAGCTCGACGAAGTTTCAGAAGCTCGACGAAGCACGACGCTGTTTGCACAGTATGCGTTGCATATTTCGATCCACATTAATGCCTAGTGCACACATATTGCTTATTTATGCGGAGTACGTGAAAGAATGGGACGGGACGGAAAATTTGCAGGTCCAGCCATATTCTGCGCTTGACACCGTGTCCTTTATTACTGCCGAAAAAGGAACGTTTTTCAGAGAACAAATATTCCAGCCTTTGTCATAATTGTTTGTAGCTCAAAGGAATTCGCATTTAACTTCAGTTTAACACAGCATTTCTCAATGTGTTTTGAAGAAGGAGAAGAGATATTATGCAACTTGTGCGTTTTTGTCGTTTTTCTTCAGGAACGCCGACGAAAGTCGCTTGTGAAATCTACATACGCAGCTTCGGGTCTATAAATCCTGCCACAATGGTATGTCGGCCAGCGTGCATTTGACGTCTCTTCTAGCGTCATTGTCCTGAAGCGTCGCTCTGGCTAAATTTAAACGCATTTATTATCTCTGTCCTTGGTGATCCCGCGGAAGCCAATTTAAGGGTGTCATAAAAAATGGGGAAAAATAGAATCTTTAACATAGAGTAATATCAGCGTACTTCAATCTTGACGGCTCGGAATAGATTCGCTCAGATATCCCCTTTGCCAAAACAACATTAGCACTCGACTGCGACTGAGACGCATAAGGCACTATGCATTCACTTTGCCTCGCTTGAACAGATTCAGCGAATGTCTTGACTAACCCGCCATTTTTACTATATTTTAATGAGGAAAAAACTAGCATCCTGAATTTGCGAGGACACATGCGGAACACTTCGACTGACTGTCTATTATTGTCTTTTTTATTAACTATTCGGCAGTATTGGTGGGTGGCTATCGGTTAGAAAAATATTCTGAAGAGAAAACGGTGTTCAATTTGTTGAATTGTGACACAGTTGAAAAATAACCGCTGTTCCTAATTAATAAATAGCTGAAACACTGAGTGCTACTATGGCGCCCTTTGTAGAAACATGAACTTCCTGAAGAGAATCTCGTTCTAAAAAAAGTCGTTTCCGCAGTTGTCTATCCAACACATATATTCATTTAGTTCGTGTTTGTACCTTATGTTTTTTTTTTCAATTAGGAACCACGATCGTTCACATTTAGCGGAATATTTGAAAAGAAAGAATTAAGGGGCAAATAAGTAGAGTACATGCTTCGTTTCAGATTTCAGTGAGTCTTAAGAAATATAGAGACAGGGAATTTATTAGAAGGCAGAAAGATCAGTCTCAGCTTGTTCAAGACTCGTTTTAAGAAATAGTGTTTCTTTCAATTACTTTTGTTCAGTAAGCTGTAACTTTCGAAATGCCGCAAATATTATCGAGCCTCTGCTGAAAAAAAAAAGATTTTCAATAACTTTCACAGGATTGGACTGTGGAAACACATCCCTCTAAACTTATCTCCCTTTCTCTTTTTTTTGCGAAATTCTTTGTTTAGTCGAAAAATTGCTGCTTTCAGGCCACGTGGCCTGACAGGCCACTTGCTATCTTTACAATGTTTTTATGCCATATTTTCAGGACTACGAGGTTGATCTATATTTGCGGCAGACTTGGCAAGACGATCGCTTGACAAGCCCTAACGTGTCCAGACCTTTGGACCTCAATGATCCCAAGCTGGTGCAGCGGATATGGAAACCAGAAGTATTCTTCGCAAACGCCAAACACGCGGAATTTCAGTACGTCACCGTACCTAACGTACTGGTTCGCGTTAACCCGAACGGGAAGATCCTCTATATGCTTAGGTAAGCTACTTCACTTTAGCGTACGTGAAGAAACTTGTCTTCATTAAGGCGTCTTAGTGTGAAGTTATGAGCTGACCTAATTCAGTTTTTTAACTTGCGCTGGACATAGGCAGGACCAATGCATTTATTGCATTTAATTCAGCATGAGCATGAGAGGCGTTGCAACGACGTCAGCGATTAAATTAAAGTTATGGTTTTCAGTTAAGTCGCATTTCTCCATACGAGGCAACGGGCTTTAATTACTACGCCTCTTACTGATTTTGATGGCTGCTGCATATTTAACTTTCGCTATCTTGTTTTATAAAATGACTAATGTGGCAGGAATTAGCACATATTTTGTCGTTCGCAGATGGTTTCTGGGCACTACTTCATAAATCACTTACTACGATCCACCTTTATACAGATTTACGATAGAGTGCAACGCTATGGCTGGGGGGGGGGGGGGATACGAGTTATATTCTTTTAAAGATTTAGTGGCACATTGCTGTAACTCCTGAGAACTTCGAAAAAAAAAATGAGAAGCAAAATAAACACAAAACTTCGATGTGTAGAGAGAAATGCGAGCAGGTTAGGTGATGACGGATTAGTTTCAGATATTGATGCACACGTGGATTTGTTAAAGTTGCGTAGTATAAAAAATAGAGACGCCTTTCATGTTGCTACTATATCTCCCCGAATAGTGTTATATTTCGTGGCAGTTACAGCGAGATGAATATTAAATTCATTTTGTGTTTATTCTTGAAGCTTGTTTAATATAATTTTACGCAGTTTTTTTTTTCACTCTTTCGGCTCGTATGCACCCCACGGAGCACATAATCAATTGCAAGTTATTGCAGCCTAGAGTTTCGTGTGTGCTTCGCAAAATATGTAACTCACGCCGTTCTGCGAGTATCAAGTTTGTTTGGCGTATTATGGCAACTCTAGAAATTACTGTGGCTCAAGTGTGCTGAAAGAGGATATTTAGCACGTGATAGACAAGATAAATTATGACCATCGTTTCAGGTTTATAGCAATTATCGCCGAGTATGTGCATCGTTCTTTTATTGATCGAGTGGCTTCTCTTTCTTTCATCTAGGCTCAAGCTAAGGTTTGCATGCATGATGGATTTATACCGGTTCCCAATGGACTCCCAAGTTTGTAGCATCGAACTTGCTTCATGTAAGTCCAAAGACAAAGGCGGTAGCGAGAATTTTAAACAACGCTCATTCAGAGCTGAAATCAATGAATGTCTGTTAAGATACACCTCCAAATTCCTTACATTGAAAAACTACTTAGGCATAACACATGCGCTGTATAAGAACAAGAAACAGTACTGACTAATGAGCGCCGGCATCATGACTTGGTTTGACAGATTTCAACATAGTGGACGTTGAAAGTTTATCAACCAATAGGTAATATTCGTTTTAAACGAGAGTACTTGGCTATATACGAAGATGCATGGGAGTCTAAGTTTCGTGCTCACTGAAAATTCAAACTGGGCCTCCATTAATCGTTGTTTTTCGAATTGGTAAGTTTATATTTTTTGAAACATTGCTTTACATCAGCTAGATCAGAGAGAAATTCGCCTTGCTCGGCGAAGACAAATTTTAACGCCGTCTTCTTATGCTCGGGTGAACGAAAGTTGTGTGATTGAGTTCTTGCATCTTGACTGATGTACTTACGTCGACTAATCGTCCTTGCATATAAGGATATATTTTTTCTGAAGAAATATCGGCGGGTTGTTTGATATTGCAGTATAACTATTTTTGGGCATTTCCTCTGCGTGAGAAGTGTACATAAGCCATTAAGGGCCAAGCATAGCGAAAAAGCACCTAAGTACCATGTTTATACTCTCAAGTTTTCTTGAAAAGCACCAATTGTTCGTCTACTTACTAATACACAGCGTTGATAATATACAGCGTATTGGAAACATAGCTGATATTTAATTTATCAGTGGCATGGGAAAGTGTGCTTGGAAAATTACCCTATGTATAAAAAATAATCTTAACAGCAAGCACCATTGCTACATTGACGAGCTGATTTCTTTATAATAGAGCCTTCAAGGTCCTTTCTTTCAGAAAAACATTTCATTTAGAACGTAAAATAAATGTTATACTTGTATAACTATTTTAGCTAGTTTTAAATTGTATTTGCGCATAAGCAAATAAGCAAATAAATATTACAGAGTATTTTATAAGCTTTCACAAAAAACTTTAACAAATGTTAGAATGCATTATGGCCTTTGAGCTCCTATTCAAGTTGCGACATGAACGCGAGTAGCACGTTTTTTTTCTATTTTGGCATTTAGAGACCTCCATGGGGCATTTTGAAACTATTATGTTGCACACTGCACCTATCACTTGTTATTGCCACACTTTCATTGCGCCCACACAGCAACCGTTTTTTTGTCATTCTACAGCTGTGTAAAATTAATATTTCAGATGTCCTTCTCAGATCTTATTACTATGTGTCTAGAGCTATTTGTAAATAACTTGCACTGACGCAAAATAAATAAATAAATAAATAAATCAAATAATCAATCAATTCTCTTCATTTTCACTGCGCCAATCAATGCGGTTATACCATTGAAGTTCAAGACTACTTCTAAACGTTGCTCATGCATTCAATGTCACATCCATGCCTTCTATGCTAATGCACTTGATATCAATCTTTGTTTGAGCCCTTGAGTTCATCGCGCCAACGACGCAAAATATTAAAGCAGAAATGTAGGCACTTGGTAGTAAATCTTTTCTGTGGAATCAGTACCTTTATTACCTTAGATTTACCTAGAATAATTTCCAAAGACGCTGATTTTTTAAATCTTAGCCCAAATACCATCTTGCTATTCGTGCGCGGACTATTGGCCATGCTGTGCTGACATAAAAAATGCTCATTTCACTTGCAGTCTCCAAAACAACCGAAGAACTGCATCTCGAATGGTCTGAATCAAACCCAATAATATTATTTGAAGGCCTCAAGCTACCGCAGTTTGAGATTCAAAACATAAACACGTCGCTCTGCATGGAAAAATTTCACATTGGTAAGTACAGCACGTGGAAACATTCGATGTTGACAAGAAAGAAGTAATTATACGATCAATTACTATTCATGGCAAAAAAAAAAACGGTACAAAAATCAGATTGTGCTGCAAAAAAAACAAACAACTTTTAGATATGAAGAAAACAGTTCAATATTTTCCCGTCGCCAGAGCTGAAAGGGAAGCTCATAAAGTTATAGTGTATGCCAAGCTGTCATACTAACAAAAAAAAAGTAAAGCAGAGTTCGTGGAATATTTGGTCGGTTGCAAACAAAGCAGATTACTTTCGGATCATGTTGACTCAAAAGAATATAAGTTATTGTTTAAAGCTGCTGCCGAAGCTCAGGAAAAATGGCAGACATGCATCTATGCTCCGGTTGTTATATCTCGGGAACATTCATATGTTTATTTATGCTGGATTCTGAAGGAAGATACATGAAAAAAAAAAAAACACACCAGGCCTGCGCGAAAGGCGCAGCACAGTCACAACGAAAGCTAGAAGAGCTGCCTTTTAGGGCTTTTTCAAAACACTCATTGGGTAGCTACTGCAAGCACACTTGCTTGATACCTACTAGGAGATTAATATTAAACTTTTGGGTAGTAGGCCAGCCTTCACTATGCTGGTTTTCGTCATTCTTCTGAGAAGCGTGGTATCTGCTAAACACTTGCAAGGGAGTCCGTGCTTATTGTTCACGCAGTGGCTGACGACGATGATGCATTATGGCTGAAGTGGGCATGTGCCACAGTTAATAGGGGAACAAGAACAAGCTTTTGTAATGGGTTGGAGCATCGGCCGACCCACTTATTGTGCTGTTCGCGTTGTGCGACGAATGGTTGTTATTTCGCTGTTTTAAAACGCTTTATAAGTCATATTAACGTGATTCCTTTCCCGACATCAAGCCTGCCTAAGCCAAGTTTTCCAACAACTCCCAAGCACCGGTGTGACTCAGTGGTAGAATACTGCATTTTTGAAAGAAATATATTTACTTAGTGCGCAGTGAATGTTTCAGAAAGAAGATAGAGCAGAGAGATAGGACAGAGCACGCTGTTCTATCTCCCGTTCCCTGTGCACTATATTTCATTTAAAAATACAGTATCAACCAGCCCAACTAGCCACGCTTTTTGGTAGAACACCAGGCTGGCACCCAGTGGACCCAGATTCGAGCCCCACTGTATAATTGATGCGAAGTTTTTTTTTCTGATTTCACGTGATGTGGTTACGAACACTGGCGGCGGTGGACAACGGCGCGTGAGCCGAGTTCTGATATCATAACAGCTTTCGCTGTAAAACAACATATTGGTGCTGCCATAACATAAGGGGGGGGGGGAATCTATAGAACAGTCAGTATATTGGCAGTGGGGCGAAGTTTTTTTTACCTAAACAGGTCTCTCATGCAGGACAAGTTATCGTTTCAAATACTATCTCTTGCTCAGTATTTCATTTTCGTTACATTAAATGGTGATATCACGAAATGTACGCAAGTCAAAGCTGAATGCCGAGATGACGCATTTAGAGGCACCCTTTTCCAAATAACCACGGAATGACTTCTTTAAAAGAGCGCTTCACGAATCTACATCTGCAAGAAATATTTGTACCCGTCAAGTACAAGGGAAGTTGCAAGGATTTGTCAAACACTGCAAGCGCTTTTTTTTCTCCTTTCATACCAGCTAATACGTCGTAAGCTACGCAGGTGGATGGGGAGGGGACAGACTTTCTGGACACGTGGTAGGCTTTGTCGTATGTAACCACTCCTAATTCCTTTTTACATGCAAATTATTAAGTGCATGCATAAAAGTTGAACACTGATTCATTCCAACGAGTACACTCATGAATTCTGGTGAGGTACGAGTGTTTCAAGCTTTAGGGACAGGATATCAGGAACAATCACCTTTGCATAATATACTGCTATGTTTGGTAATGTAAGTGCTGGTATACGTATTGCCTTGAGGCTTTGACCTTACACGTTTCAGGAAAGGGACTTATTACCTTTTGTAGTCATATCACATACCTACTCGACGAGCGTTTTCGGTCAAATGGTGTTACGTAAATCACAAAAATCAGAGTACAAGAATACCTAGCGACCATGCCCTCAGCTGTAGCATCTTTATTGGATTCTAGCGCTCATTTGGAAGCCGTACACTACAAAAAGCGACTGCTCTGTTTGGGTATTATTTTTGTCCAGAAACAGTGTACGTCGTCCACCTTGCCCTCACTTAATTTTTGAAAACTGGGTCCTCACCACATTTTCTTGAGAATGTTATGTGAGGGTGACAGCGTGCATGCCGCTCTGGAGCTGCTAGTTCTGGGCGTGGTATGAAGGGGGAAACTGTGTTACACTGTAACAAGCCAATAAACCTACAACGCGGTTCGAGCAGCATAGTTTGGCTTTCTGCAAGTCTCCCGATTCTAGCAGCGCGATTCAATCACCATATGCTGCGGTTAAACTGGCGATCTGCGAGAAGCAGGACTGTGCATTATGCCTTGCAACTGTTGTTTACAAACTTTATTTATTCATTTATTTGTGTATTCGCATATATATACACATAACATTTTAAGTACCATAAAATAGGATATTAAATGAGCGATAAGCAATCAGGGTGCATGGCCTGAAAGAAACTCTTTGACAGGCATATTTCAATCGAGCGATGCCGGTGATTAGTACAATGCAAGAAGAAAAAGCATTCCATTTTTCGGCAGTGTGTAGAAAAGTGGACATAGAGTAGTATGGGCACAGGGCAGTTGCACGGCATTTGAATTAATGTAGCAAAAGAAAGCAACGTACGGCTGCAAAAATTTCTTTTCTGTGGCTAGTGAATGAGAAAAGCAAACATAATTTCGCTATGACACCAACTTTCGACCTTCAAACTATGAAAGAAGCGCAGCCTCTTGCAACGGGGAGGGTTTTAAAAAAACGATTAAGGTTCGCGCAAAGCTCTATCAATGCAAGTTTTTCCTACCTAATTTCGAGAAGAATAAAAAAAAACGATAATTCACATGGTCGCTATATAAGTGTTCCTTAGTCTCGTCATTAACTTAGCTTCATAGAGAGTAGTCGCCTCAGGCCCTCATCGCGTGGAACGATCGACGATGTTTCAAAGCTCACCAAATTGATCTAAGTCAAAGTTTGTCAAGCGCATCCTTCTTAGGAAAGTCGGTCAAAGTGGGCTCTGTCCCGTGACGCGGTTCCCTAATTATCTCTGAAGAACAATGCTTTTTTTTAGTCCCTCATTTTGTCATCTTTATAGGTCTAGATCTACTGCACTTTTACTCAGAGCTAATAATTAGACTCCTCTTACACTGTGTTTATAACGGTTATTATGCCGGGAACAATTGACAAAAACACAGGAAACCTAGCGGAACAGAGGAAGTTTTACCCCAAAATATTTGATTAAATTTTATTAAGGGCCCAGTGAAATGTAGAGTAGCACCATCTTTTATGATGCACAAAGAAACAAGCCTTTTATTAAAAGTGACAGCTTTATTCCCCCTACCCTCTTCCCCAGCACAGGGTAGCCAGCCGGTCTGAGAACTGGCTAACCTCCCTGTCCTTCCTCCTTCAATCCTCCTCCTTTTCCTTCTTTTCTAGATGCTGTCTTGTGCGTACCTAATGAACTTTCTGCGTTATACTGTTTATACTCTTTTCTATGATGTGACAAACTAAGGCTACAATGAGCAAGTAATTGTAAATCTCCCTCAAGAAAGCTTTGCTTCCAGCTACAATGTCCGGCTGAGAGTAGTACAATACTTGGTGATACTGAGCATAAAGTGAAGAGTTACTACTTCTTACGGGTTAGCCGCTTAAGAGGTCAAAGGGAAACGCAATTTTTCTTGCATAAGTATTGTGCTCATGTTCAAGAACATCAAGTGGTCTACTTCATTGTACGCCATATGCATTTGCTGCCGTGTTTCTTCACTATGTGAAAGCCAAGAGGATTTTTGATGTGATAATCAAATATTCTATTCAGTATTCAGCAAATGGCGGTACACTAAGTTTTATCAAGGAAGAATGGGGCAAAATATTCACTCTCTTCTACGACATTCCCACCTAATGTTTCGCAATCAGCTACATATGTCAAGCGTGATTTAAGTCTGCAATGCCTGCGTTGTCTGCCTGTAACATTGTATTGGAACGGCTAGCTTATGCATGCTAGATACCCGGGTGGCATGTCGATCATCATTCCTGCTACTGCTTATGTTTTAAAAACAATGCCACTCACTTCAGTGTACCTCCAGTAGCAGCCCCACCGTGGTGGTCTAGTGGCTAAGGTACTCGGTGCTGACCCGCAGGTCGCGGGATCAAATCCCAGCTGCGGGTCTGCATTTCCGATGGAGGCGGAAATGTTGTAGGTCCGTGTGCTCAGATTTGGGTGCACGTTGAAGAACCCCAGGTGGTGGAAATTTCCGGAGCCCTCCACTACGGCGTCTCTCATAATCATATGGTGGCTTTGGGACGTTAAACCCCATATTGATTATCAATCTATCAATACCTCAAGTAGCTGGGTAGGGATATCATTTGTTTACCGATTCAAGACTCCTGGGAGCTTGGCCTAACAGTTCCTCCTACCCGCAAGCAACGCTGGTTATTTACTCTACTGGTGAAGAAACGTTCGAATGGCCCACTATGATGCAGCTACGCAGCAGTTATCAATTTACTTCAGTAATGTATAGCGTTATATCTATTGAACCCTCCGCGTAGACTGGGGATTCGCGAGATCGAATCTCAGTGCTGCCTCTCAGCACAACGGGTCAACGCACTGCATTATTACTATTTGATATACATGCGTGAGTATGCAAAAATAGGAAGGAAACCGTCTAATTCCAACAGTCACGAAGAGGGACACCGCGCCTAACATCTGTTTCGGAATGGGAAGTGTAATACTAGAGATACAGCGGGAAGGCACCGGAGAATACATAGACAGAGGACGGGTAGCACGCTCTAAAGCAAAGCAGGAAGGCAGACAAAAAATCTTTTGATTGAAAATGCGCAGAAAATTATCAGAAACGCAGCAATCTTGCAGGCAGTGATGGAATCACTTCGAGCCGAGGATACTTGTAAAATACGGGTTATGAAATCCCCAATTTTCTCTCTTTATTACCTGTATAATTTTTTGTGACGTTAGGGCAGCGAAATGGTCAAATTGTTGCTGACTTTAAATCTTTTACTCCTTTCTTCCTGCTCATCTACAACATTAAAAGCTAGTGATGCACCGGAAACTTGCTCAATTTTTTCATTTTCAGGAGAGTACAGTTGCCTCAAGGCCGACTTCCACTTGCAGCGTTCACTGGGCTATCACATGGTACAGTCGTACCTGCCCACAGTGCTTATAGTTGTCATCTCCTGGGTCTCCTTCTGGCTCGACGTAGAATCTATTCCGGCGCGCACCACCTTGGGTGTCACGACGCTGCTGACGATTTCTTCCAAAGGCTCCGGCATACAGTCCAACCTGCCTCCGGTTTCGTACGTGAAGGCCATCGACGTGTGGATGGGAGCCTGCACGGGATTCGTGTTCTCGGCGCTACTCGAGTTCACCGTCGTCAGCTGCCTGGCGAGAATGCAGGCACGAGACAAGGTGACAACGACTGCAGTGTTTCCACAGATGCCTTAGTTCTCGCTGGTCTTAGGCCTCGCTCAGCATACAAGGCAGTGAACTGATTTTTGCGGACAACGTACCTGTGTGAGCATTTTTAACTATCACAACTACAGTCTAGCATTTCAGTGCGCTAGAAAGATTGGAAACACGTCGCTCATACGACTTTGGCAGTCACAGGTACTAATGGGGCGCTTCGTTAGACGCCTATACTCATTTGGTGTGCCACCCGCCAAGGTGATGTCATGCTTATGGATCTCGACTGATGAACCAAATGTCGATCAGTGAAATACACCTTGGCAGCCTCGTTCTGCTGGAGGTGAAATTCTATAGCCCCGCTTGTTTAGATTGAGTTACGTATATAAGAACCCCACATGATCGAAATTTCTGGAGCTCTCCACGTCTCTCATATTCATATTGACACATACCATCATTTATGAACGATTCGCTGAGGCCCATACACATTTTGTGTGCGAAGAAGAAGTCAACGTTTTTTGTCGCTCCTATTCTGTGGCATATGTCAACTCCTAGAAGTCAGTCTTGCTTTGGGAGATGTAGCTTTCTCTAAGGTGCTATAAGTGAAGCTTGACATAGCCACGGTACACTTACCCAGTGTCTCCACCAGTAATACCATGGGCAAAGCAAGACGGACTGCCAGAAGTTACCGTCTACCCCAGAATTAGAGATACGGAAACGTTCACCTTTTCTTGAAACCAAAAATGTGTAGGAGCCACAGAGAATCATTATTATATACTGGCATGTGTTAATATCGTCGGCTGGCCATCCAAAATGGCTGCAATAATGTATTATTATTATTATTATTATTATTATTATTATTATTATTATTATTATCATTATTATTATTATTATTATCTCTTGACGCGTGACGCGTGGTAGCTTGTTACCATTATTATCTTTGTTGCAAAAATGGATCTAACAAGACGTGGCATAATAAAGGGGCCCTGCTACACTTTTTAATCATGGCCAGAAAACACTTCCGATCGGTAGTAGAGGCTCCCGACAACTCGCGACTCAAAGATAACGCAGCACGTGGCCTGGAATCTACAATAAATTATCAAAGCCAGCTAAGAATCGCTTTCTCTTCTCTCGACGAATGACAAAAGACGCTCAAAAAATCACACGTAGCAAGCTCATCTATCAGCCATTGGCTGATTTGAACATGGCGCGCTCGGTCGTTACAGAGATCACCGCGGGAGGCCACGACCTGTCCACGCGTGCGTTCGCTATCACACTAAAAAAGCTGCGAATTCCAAGAAAAAAAGAAAAGTGCTCGATTCCACGATGCGCGGGTGACAAAGTTTTTTGCCCCTGCCATTCCTCCCTGCTTAGCTTCCAGTGCTTTTGTCGGGAGGAGAGAAGAGAGAATGCGATTGCAGCATGCGACGACTTCACTCGCACTGGGCTGATTGTTTTGAAACTTTTTGCGGCGTCGAATTCAGAAGTCAGTAAGTTGTTTCCGTCAATTCATTCCATATTTAATTGAAAAAGTGTTTCAGGGCCCCTGTAAAATAAATGCTGTTTGCTTTGCTATAAACTTGTTAATCGGCTACGATATTCGGAACTTGTTTGCAAGAGTGGAACAACATCAGCATGACAAGTAAAAAGCGCCATTGACGCAATCCCGGAAAAACATAGAGCATACTGAAGCGTAAACGTAGCATGCATCTATTTTTTGCGATCTTGATCTCTTGAGACTTCCTGAAATGGTAGCTCTGTGCCTTTTGGTCTGCCAGATGTCTATAAAATGACTACCAGCTATGCACATGTCTTCGAACGCACTGGGGGGACTTTCGTTCACGAGATGTTTTAGCTTCAATATCCTTTTACTTTTTTTCCTCTCGGAACAGGCTCTTTCCATTTTCGTAGTCGGTAGTCGTGCAGCGTTAGGTAGTTTGTTATTTAACGCACGATGTTTACGTGCAGCATTTTTTTTTTCAGTGTGTACGAAAACCCGCACGTCCGACTTGGGCCCTGAGCTGTCTGTCTTATCGCTTTTAAACCGTAAAACTAGAGCTTTTCTGGTGCTCGAATCGACTTTGTGAGGGCCCACATTTCGTCTACACAGCGTTTGTTTGCTGAACAGTTTACAACACTGGACACTCCTTGAGCACTTCAGCTCCTCGGAACACGTACCCTCTTCGTCGTTCAGACACCCTGCTGACAGCTTGCGTTTAGCTAAGAGCTCCGATGCGAGAAATGTTGCTGCAGCTCTCTCCTTGAATGGGGATTGATCACGGAGAACAAATATTTCATAAAAGCAACGAAGATGAGACTGAGAAACGATTTCAAGACTCCATTTGTTGAAGTAAAAAATAGTGACACTGAAGTGATAGCGGTAAATCGCAGATACTGCTTCTCATAAGCATTACTTTGCTCGAGCATATCAGTAAGCAAGAAAAAAAAAACGTTGCTTTCTGGATTATCTTTAGACAAACATGTTGTCAAATGTCTGTTACACATTTCCTCATGTAGTGACAACTGGTGGGAGGTTAGCGCGGATGTTTCTCTGTTTGTCCTCACATACTTTTCGTGACTATGCTCCTTGCGTCATTGTTTCGTGACTGTTTCGTGACCGTTGGGCTGCAACATGAAACTATGAGAGGTGAAAGATGCTAAAGGACACTGGTATATTTTGATTTAGATAATTTATACGGTGAGGCTGCTATTTCGGTAAATCATTCACGAAACATATTGAGACAAGCATGTCTCGTCTGGAGAGGCACAATGGTTAGCATACTCCCGAGATGTGTTTGTTAAACATATTATTTGTGGCGCAAAGCTTGTAACTTCAAATTGGGAAAGGAATAATGACAAATGAGCGCCAACTAACAACTGTTTATTGACAGAAAAGGTGGCAGGCAAAGAAAACTTCCAAGCATGCGCAGATGCGTGAAGAACAGACGTCATACATGTCATCAGGAAAGCGTTGTATTTTTGGCCTACAGCGTTTTCATCGCTTTCAGCTTTTGCTTTTAATAAACAGTTGGTAGTTGGCACTTACCTGCCTATCTCTCTTTCCCCTCTTCATGTTCCAAAGCTTTGCGCCACAGATATCATTTTAGCAAACCTAGCAAGTCACCCAGGAAAAAGTTATTTTACAATAGTATTACTGAGGTGGGCTTTTCATTTTCAACACATCAATTTTTTAATTTTTGTAGCGTGATCTCGGCCAACGTTTTTATATTGTTAGAGACGAATCTTCGTTTTCGAAATTATTTTGTCGGTTCGTAGTTGATTGTCTTGTGTTTTTCTCGGTGATCTCGGTGCCATGAGGGGCCGCGCAAAACCTGGACGCTCACGTTTTTTTTTTTGTGTGTGGAACCAATGCAAAAAAGCTAATCATATTGCTTGCATAAGTAAACTCGCAGAGAAAGAGAAGCTAGAAGCTTCGAATACCGATGTGCTGTGATCGGTTAGCTTGGTTCGTCTCAGCCAAATGTTGTGTTTCTGTAATTTGCGCCTTTATGGAGAAAAAACAACAACATGTGCGCTAATCAGTTTTCTTCTTTTCTGCAGGAGTCAAGTATTGTTACAACAAAGCACGGAGTCGCGATTGTCAACGCTTTTCCCGAAAACCAGGCATCGGTGCAGTGCACGGTCCGGGCGAAAACGATCGACCAGGTCTGCCGCGTTGCGTTTCCAGCAATCTTCCTTGTCTTCAATGCCATTTACTGGCCATACTTTATGTGCTTCACGGGGTAGAGCGTTTCCTAATGTGGCCTCCAGAGGCTCACCATGACATACTGACAGTGGCATCAAGACGTCGTTAATGGGAGCGCTAGTGAACCACCGCACCTCGAGATCTTAGCAAATGAGGCTCTCTAGTTTCGGGAAAGCAATTGTTCTTGCTTTACTTTTAATGAAAGAGCCCGCAGTAAACCGTAGTGACTCCGCACCCTTGGTAGATTCCGTCAATTATCTCAGGTAAGGCTAAGTTCCTCTTTCAACCTTTCAGTCCTAAGGGTAACATAAGCAGGATGCCTTCTTACGTGCGATAATATTTATTTAAATACTCATAAAAGTGGTAGTGATTACCGCTTAGTATTTGCAGCGTTTACTGAAAAACACATACAGGGATCAACTGTGGTAGGCTATGTCATTGTTTATTTTATTTCCTGATGCATTTACAGCAAATTACGATGTAAGTGTACGTAAGCGCTTTGTTAAAACGCGAAATAAAATAGCGGTGTAATATACGTCTATTTTTGGTGTATTAAGCTGACACATTCAGAACGGCAACATAAACCTAGTTTAGTGACTGCCTAAGAATTTAAAAAATAGTGAGAACTTTGGTTATTGGCGTACTTGTATTTTAAAGAACTCTTATCGTCTTGACACCTATGAATCAGTATTTGAGGACATTGTATGGAAACTTCATTCAGTGGCAGATGTTTATATTGCAGTCAGTGTCTTGCTCTTTTACGTTCTCAATTAGCCTTTCGTCAGAGGTCTGCTATACCCGCTTATTTCCCCCCTCGTTCACTGCAGGCCAAATTTACAAACGCTGTCGCTCATATGTTGTTTTCGTTTTACGTTTACACTACAATCGAGTGGCTGATTTTTTTCATTCACCAGAATGTCTCACAATATCAGTGCCCCAACTAAATACCCCTAATTGCTTTTAGCTTTAATAAGTCTATGTTAAATCATAGAGAACAAGTTATTGCTGTTGAATACAATCCCATGCTAACTTACCTTAATTTCGCAGCAACAGAAAAACATTGGCAACGTCGCCGCAGATCAAGCGTTTTCTTGGTTTTGGCTCGCAATGACAGATTATTTATTCCTCTTTGCTGCTCCAGATTTGAAAAGAAAATATACATTTTAAAGCTGCATTTAATCACATCTTGAGTGTCATTAGAGATTTCAGAGTCGGACTTGGTGCTTTGAACGGTTGGCTTACTATCTCAAGCGTCGAAAGGCAGGAAAGATTTCTCATTTCCTAATGAAATATGTGGTGGGTAAAACACAGAATAATCTGTGAAAGGTCTTACAATTGCGTCTTGTATTGAGCTGCTTCTGGTACATGATAGTTTGCACCTCTCACAACTGGGACGAGTTGAAGTAGAGGTGATAATTTTTGCCGTTATTTTTGGGCTGAAAACACCGTGCTGCTTAAAATTGCGATCCTAAGCTGAATGTTCTACACTCGATGTTCACAGCTAAAGAAATAATAAGTGAAGTCTCTGATCATTTTCTTAGCAGTGTTGCATTATGTTTTTTATGTACAAGACAGCCTTGATGTTGTGATATCTTACTGAAATGGCATCCACGTATATGTGCATATAAAAAAAAAAACAAGTGAGATAACACTGAGAGGAAACGACCGTAGATAGTTGTGCTTGTTTGGTGTACTCTCTGGCATTGTTTGGAAATGCCTTTTTTTTTGTTTCTCACTGTGCCGTGAAGCTCCTACATGAAAATCAAGTAAGCTTGTGCTGTTGAAAACCATTGTATATTTTCATAATAAAATGGTTAATAACACGAGCACGTTTCTTTACATATTTTGACAAGTTCTGGCAATAGGCTTCGGTTTTCTAATCATATTGATTTTGCAAGACAATATCAAATTAATTTTGGCACTTCACATACTGCAGGAACACAAGTACGAATCTACGCACTGCAAGTTTGAAGAGATAACCCTGTTGGCGCTATATGATTCTGACTTGCATAATTTTTTATTGCGATAGTAATAATATGGACACTCTCTCGACTGATTTTTGCCGTGTCAGCCTCGCCGTTCTCGCCGTTGACGTCTTGCTCATGTACAATAGCTATATATATATATATATATATATATATATATATATATATATATATATATATATATATATATATATATATATATATATATATATATATATATATATATATATATATATATATATATATTATATATATACGGGTTTAATCACAGAGCCACACAAGTGCATATCCTCCATCGATGGCGAGCTATTTATACACCCGATACACCGCTGGTGGTATGCCGATGTCGTAACTAATATCAGCGTGTTCTCACCTTTCCCAGCGAGATGGAGCGAAGGGCACGCTCAGAGGCCCGCTTGTGTACTTTGCTCTACAGTGTGCGGTCACCCGTGAGCGCGCGCACTTATAACGTCATAATAAAGATTTGTACGTCTTGGGCTTTCACCGGAATGATTGAATTGTAGTTATAAGGCGTACGAAGGTCACTTCACTCGCTACAGTGTCTCCGTTTGCAAAAAGAGCACGTTTTTAGTGAAGTGACAGCTGTGACCCTTGTTGGTTCGCGATCATCCTGTGTATACCTGTGCGTGCACGTTTTGCGCGTCCTCCACGTTTGAACGGCGCATTGAGTGTTAAGCTGTGAACGTTTTGAGCCCGCAATAGTCTGTGTGGGTTCTTTTTGTTGGTTGTTTTTGCTTGAGCAGCACACTGCTCGTTTTGATCTGGTTGCCACTCTTCACGTGACATTCAGATTCGTTGGTATTGAATTCATTGCTTTGCCCTTGTGGCGAAAGTGTGACTTTTTTTCATTTTTGGTGACGATTGACATTTTTCAATAAATTCTTCCGATATAGGAAAAAAGTACATGTGACATAAATGTTCAGGTTTATTAGTATAAATGTTTGAGCTAGTGGAGTGGAGTGGCTGTTAGCTAGTGGAGTGGCTGCCTTGGATACAGAGGTCGGAAACATTGAGCGCCTGCCTCAATCATGGTTTGCTGTGCAGACAATAACAAGGACGACGAAAACGGCAGAATTAATTTTTTCGCACCTGTTTTATAGCAGAACAAAAAAAAAATACCTAGGGAACAGATTATTTATGAACGAGTGACGCTTAAGAGGAAAAAAAATAAAGACATGATTAGTTGGGCATTAACGCTTCTGTCAACAGAAGATCACCTTTTAGATAAATGGATAAGCTTGGTAGGGAACTGATAGATATGAGGAAGAATAACTTATGTCCTTTATGATGGAGTATCTCGACACCCATCTGTTTGAGATGGATGTCGAGATACTCCAAAACCAACCCTTTACTCAGTGTACGCCTTGACCAATGTATGATGAGCCCTGGAATCTGTCAATTTCGTTACAGATTTTCATCAGCTCATCTTACCTTATAGCTTCACTGCTAAAAAGGTTAGCGCAGTTCGAACCTGGTTGGGTACAGCACGCGTGAAAAAATATCACAATAAGAGATTATATAACGAGAATGAGTGCCACCGCACCGGCGATGAATGTTTACTTACGTTATACACTCACAAGCACTCGTATTGTGTGATTACCTTTGTTGGCATAGTTCACGTGTCCTTGTTACCATGGGGCACTGAAGTTGGGTAAGGCTTCTTGGCGTGGTTAGGTGCCGTCGCACTTGAGCATTGTAGGCGAAGATTTTGTTTGTTTTCCTGTCATCACAACGATGCTTAAAAAGGAAAGCAGACCACACCATGCGCGTATCACATTGTACCTGGTATGTTCGGCGCGAATGGCGTAATGAGCTTTGTACTTTGTACTGAGAGGTCTATCTCGATTCTCTCTAGAGCCCAGTTCGGCCAAGTGGAAGACCTGCAAGAAACGTCTGAATACTTTTGTGCACCATTACATAGCTAATATCTGGCGCCGTGGTATTAGCAGTTTAGCATATAGGGTTATCGACTTAGCTAGGCTAGTCCACTAAATACACTTTTCAAAGCTGTAAGTTTAACAACTACACAAAATGGACTTTAAACATCTATTGCATTCACAGGAATGACAGCCTAATCTCCATGGGATTCTAATGCCAAGAGAATAAATTTTGTGGTTATTTAAACGCTTGTTAGGCATTCAATAAAGTAGAAAGAAGTGAAATTCTCAGCATTAACGGGGCTAATAAAAGCTACCCACGCTTTTTCACAATTTAGCAGCGTAATTCATAGGCACAACGAAGTGTTATCGTAATCTTTTAGGGGCTGGTTGCTATTAGCAGATGACCTTTACATTTTATAGGAAGTGAAATACACAGAGGAAAAGGTATCTTGCAGAGTAGTTACAGACACCTTCCGGAGCACCAACGCCTACACAGCTATCTAAGTATTTAAATAATTATTTTTACTTTACTCATTTAAGCTTTGCATCTTCATATCGGATAAGCCGTAGAATTGCGTGAGTGTTTTCTAAGACACTAACACAACCTTTACGATGTTTGTTAGCCTCTTTCTGACTGAGATACGTACAATGTTGCTCTGAGTTGGACTCGAGCACAAGGTAATACTCAATAAATATTTGAATAGAGAAATTATTGTCCTAAATAAAAGCCTCCTAAGTGCATTACCACACATCAAAGCGCAATTTTGAGCATCAAGAACAGATTACTAACCAAGGTATTACGCAAATTTTCAGTAAAAGAAGTTTGTCTGTGTTGGACATATTCTAGTCTATCCATAGCGAACGTATCTGTTTTAATAGTGGAGGAGGGAAGTGAGGGAACGAAGGGGAGGGTGGCCTCTCTTTGTGCTCGAGCTTGGAGGACGCCCCTTGCAAGAGTTCCACTCCTTTAAAGTTAGTTTTTGAACTTCATACCTCAATCGCTCGGCAGCTAAATGTAGTCTTCTTCAGTTTTTAAAACGCTAGTTTAATTCACACTATGTTTGTACGTGGGTTTAGTAATCTTCAGGTGAATTAAGCTACACCGAATTTGCAACACCCGTTAGATATGTACGCACTGCAATGCAACTGCCAAGAGCACAATGCAGTTACGATGCTCGTTTTTTAAATTTCATTTCAAAGCATGATTAGAAGTTTTGTATGATTAAATGTGAGGCTTACATTTATAAAAGACTAAAACACATAATAGCCGTCATAGCCTTATGTCTGTGCCCCTCGAGTTTCTGCTTAACTTACGTCACTTCTCTTTCTTTCCATACACGATGCCTTAGTACACTATAAGCATGACGGTGGCCTGAAAGGAAATTACTGGGTTTATGCACCAACTCTATTCTAATAAGTTGCCCGTGTGCGCTTGGATAGTCGACTAAATAGTCGACTATCCAAGCCGTCACGGATAGTCACGTATAAATGCCATCGTAGTGGTCGAGCAGCGTCAAGTGCAGGTAGTGAAGGAATGGAATTAAGAGAGTCGGCTCACGTTCTTTTTGGAATGCAAGAGTACTGTGCTGAAACTTCAAAGCAAGGGCACATTGAGTGTATGCATGGAAGATGTGTAGAGCTCGACTGTACGTTACGCTATTGCTTTAGCAGCATCTACTGGATGAAAGAGTAAGCACACTCCTCGGAAAAGAAGTGTCATCAGAGTCTTTTTGTGGACTCCAGACTTGCCGCATAGATGATTATTTTTAAAGAGACACTCGTAATATATTTAGTTGTCGTTACACTCTCCTCAAAAAGTCACGGAACTACAAAAAGAGAGTTAACATATCACTTTAAAGAGAGTCTCATATGTGGTAAGCTGGGAACTACCGAAAAAGGTTACACATACTCTTGTTTCTTATCAAACTATTACTCCAAATAGTGGTTTGCTAAACTTTAGTCATATCCCTTAAGATAATATTTTTTCTAAAAAAATAATGGTGCTTTTACCTCAAAAAACAACTTGACATGAATAAAACACACGAAATATATTGTAGCCCAAAAGCATCTTACACAACGCAGACACTGTCTATATATCGGCTTTTAAATAAAGCTAGCTGGACGCAACCATAAGATGGTGTGCAAATTCATTTTCTATTATTATGCTATCATTTTCTGCGCTGTACTACAGTTTATGATAACACGAGCTTCAGGAGCCAAGTATTGTGTAGGGGTTAGTCAAGTTTAGAGGAGCAGACATGAAATAGTACTTAACATCGCATGATTGGTTTATCGCTAGAGTGAGAAAGACATGAGTGCAGAAAAGAAACAAGATGAACACTAGTAAGAACTGGCTGGGCATTGAAATTGCTATATTACACAGTACTACACAAATAGTAAGTACAAATGCTCAAAATGTAAAAACTATATCGCATGTCATACAGATTGACTGAAAAAAATTATTAAGGAGAAGATACTTGCCCATAGCAAGCGACACCTATGGGGTGCCACTTACCCAGAAATAACCTATTAATAATGCATAATATGAATGCATTAGCTAACTTGCTTTCAACCATTGTGCACTGCCAAAATAGGCGCCACAACACGAACGTGACAGACAGTTACGGAGTCCCCATTCTTCTTTAAAAAACTCTAAAATCAGCAGAATTTCATACACGTACACTTTTCCAGGATGTCTAAAAATCTACAGGTCTGCGACAGGTCAAATTAAATTTTATTAAAGTAAATTTCGTCTGAAAACAATATTCTCGGTGCATACCTTTACGCTGCGAGAGTGACAATTCATACGACCCCTTTTCGTGAAGTCTTGTGTTCGCTAGTGTTTTGTTTTACTTACGGATACCATAAATGCGCTTGTTAATTTACTACGAAATTCAATCATTGAGAACACGTACTCGAGAACATACATTGAGCACACGAA